AAGAATTTTTCATTCAATTTATATATGCACTATTTCTAACATAAACACATACCCATGACAAAACCAGTAATACCAATGCCACGTGTTGCACAAGCTAACAAAAATCGACCGAATGCAAACAGTGGATAACTTGTTCCATGACCAATGAAATCTTGAGGTGCTATTGCACATACGATACCACCAATAAACATCAGTATAAATGAAACACCCATGATAGGTCGTCTTCCAAGTCTTGAAATGAACCAATGGTAACAGTAAGATAGTGGGATAAAAAGAAACTCTATTTACTTGTCAGAAAGTACACCAAAAACAAGTGAACCCACCATATACCCGACGAAAAAAACAATTTGAACAGTGCTCTTTAATGGTACTCGATCGCATACCATTGACCACTAAAAGTAACCGATATAATAACAAATTAATTTTTATTTGAAATTGATACATCTACATGCTATTAAATTATCTAGTATAGGTTATGTGATAATGATAAGAAAATCAATAAAAAGACTAGTTAGTTTTCATATTTAGATGTGTATTAATAAACTGTAGCATTCTGAATTAACTTTTGATATCAACTATTTTGTTGACAAAATTTATATTAACTCACATCTTCAACGATTGTCGATTGATAATAAGTTCGATCAAAAGCAAAACTTCGACATGGACTTAATTCACTAATACTACCAATATTATAAGCACTATTATTTACAACTTGAAAACATCGTTGACATTCTTTTAGAGAAATACTTTTTTGAGTCTCTCGACATTGAGTTTCACTTGGTATATAAGAAGATATTAGTTGATTTGTAAGATTATTCAAAGGTGAATCATCAAATGGTAGTTTACATTGGAAAGGTGGTGTAGCAGCTATGAATGTCCAAGCATAGACCATCACTGGTGGAAGCAAATTAGTGCAACATAGTAAGAAGTATTTGATTTTTTGATATGGACCAAATACACCAACTGTCTCATAGAAATCATCAAACTGCATTTTCTTTATTTGCGTGTCACTACTGAAAGACTGAGAATCGATATAAGCAAAGAAATAAATGCAAAGGGACCCTTTTTGTACACTTAGTCATATGCTTGTTTCTTTTCTCGTCTTTTTTGCGTTCTTTTTATCGTCTAATACCTCATAAAAGAACGAAGGTTATTTTGCTATCAGCTGACTATAAAAGTATGGTTACTGATAATGTTGTTGATGCGTGATATCCACCCAAAAAAAAAAGATATGAAAAACCAGTATAGTTTTTGTTGATTTCACATTATGTACGACAAGAGAGTGAAAAGAAAGAAAAAAAAAAGTGATATACTCGTCCTTGTTTGATTCTTGTTCATATACACTAAATATAATTTATTCATTTTTTCGTTTGTCTTATCCCAAGGTTTTCTTAATGTGACACATGATAAAATTTAGTCACGTAACAAATATGCGAACATGAATAATTTACGAATCGAGGTTTTGAAAAGCAAGGTGTATTTTGCCTTGATTTATTCCAAAGTCGTCAATAGATTCAGTGCACTTTTGACTATATGGTTGTCTTTTTTTTTCTCCATCAATCAAATTTAGTTTGTATTTTTTATGCAAGAATAGCTTGTTGTTGTTGTTGTTGTTGTTTGTTCTAATAATAACGAATGATATATATTTTTATTTTATTTTCATATGCATTGTAATGTTAGCAAATTTAACCTATTTTCAATTTTAATCTTTGAACTTATCCTTTGATAAGAATAAATCTTATCATTCTAATGTACTTTTCAATATTGCTGTTATTGTTATTGTACCATATGTTGTTAACTAAGCATTATCGTCTGATATATTTTGCGTTCTGTTTTTACTGCTGCTGCTCTTTGACCCTTTTTTCACACTTACAGTGACATGCATTGACTTTCTGCGATAACAGTAATTTGACCTATGTCGACAATATGATGCTAAGGCACAATGATGAATATTTATCTGTCGAGTCTTGATATTTTTTAAAACTGTGACAAAATTGTTATTATTATTTAAGAAATGTATTTAAAATGTTTTGTAATTTGATTCTTTTGTATATTTATAAGCACCTAGTGAAATACTAATATGTGCTTTAATAGATGTTAGCTCGACATTTTAGTATCGATCAATCGATCATACTTCCTCATCTTTGAAAGTTTCTTATAGGAAGCTACACTATTTTCAATCATCTGTAGTAAATATATTCAACCAAAATAATTTTCGTCGTTATTAGACTGATGTCTATGTACTTTTCAGTTACTACTAAGTTATTTGTGTGACAAGTGTGCATATAATTTATGTTGTTTTTTAATAATCACATCAGACATATTAGCAATGAATATCTTTTGTTTTTATAAACAATATGCAGCATTCAAGTTTAATCATTTTATAAATAATCGTTCAATTAACACCTGATTCCGGAACACTTAAACAATAATGAGGATAATGAACCATTTTTTTTTTACAAGAAAGCTCGAATTATATAATACAGATCGAACAATGACAGATTATTGCTAATTAATTCCTAGAGAAGATGTCAAACTGAAAAAACACATCATTCTGTAGTTTCTTTTAATGACTAATTTTGTTTACTTTACAAATTCTAGTCAATTGTTTCAATCTTACAGTGCCTTCTCCATTAACTTATCCAATAAAGATTCGTTT